TTTTTTTTTTTTTTTTTTTTGTTTTTTTTTTTTTTTTTTTTTTTTTTTTTACACTGGTTACAAATATCAAAAACCTCTTTTCTTCACACTACAAGTTAAATATTTACAGTAGCATTAACTTTAATAACTATTTTCAAAAATATGTGATTATTGTAATTAAAGTCTAATATGTCAATTGTTAGTTTGTGAATTTTATGTTTGTATATGAAAAAACTTAAAACTTGGCTTTAGCTTTTTAATAATTGTTTATTCTTTTTTCTCCCATTGGTACTCATTTTGCTAAATCATGATTTAAAACTATTACTTTGTGTCTTGTTTTTAGCGGCTGGAGCTACTGTGGTATATCCCATTGATCTTGTTAAAACCCGGATGCAAAATCAGAGGACAGGCTCCTACATTGGTGAACTTATGTACCGAAACAGTTTTGACTGTGCTTCAAAAGTTATTCGACATGAGGGGTTTTTGGGCCTTTATCGTGGACTTCTTCCACAGCTTGTTGGAGTTTGTCCTGAGAAAGCTATCAAGCTAACGGTGTGAATTCTTCTTTTGTTTTTTTTTGCATATTATCCCTTTTTAAGCTTTCATAATTTACATTTCTTAGTTCATTAGATTTACAAAGTTTTTAAATGTAAGAACAGTAGCAATAATTAATTTATTTCAAGTTTTATAAAAATGCATTTGAAAACATTTTGGGTGAACAGTTTCATTGTACATTGAAGCAATCTGTAACTTGTATTTATTAAAAGAACAACTACAGTATGAAACATGAAATTTATGCAGTAATAAAAAAGCAAGAATATAATTTATATTTTCATAAAAGCTTTTCAAGTATATTTAAAAAAAATGATTATTTTGCAATCTTATATGAGAGCCTTGAACTAAAACTTGTTTAAAAATTTAATTTTTAAATCGCATAGTAGGTCTGAGGCTAACAGACCCAAATTTCATGTTGCCTGTAACAAATTAAATACACTTTTGATAAATTAAAAAAAAAACTTCATGGCACTGTATATTTATGAATGTGATGTTTCTGTCTAATATTATGCAAAACATGCCAGTCATCTCTGTGAAATCACACATGCAAATTTATTGATTTAATAAATGTGCCTGAGATGTGTATATACTTGTGTACAATTAAATGCCAATATTTACATACCATATCTACATGTGTACACTTACAGACTTTTTGATTGTGAGGTATCCATTATTGAGGGGGGGTAGGAAAACATTCCATAATGATACACACAGCTTTATAATATCAAATTATAAAAAATAAACATGTGAATCTGCTTGCAACTTTTATAATGATTTATTTCTTATATTTAAAAAAACTTGGCAATTACATTATGTTTCAGTTTTCATGTTTTATTTTTTTATTCCTGTTTATCCCTTGTGTCTCAGTATTAAGCTTGAGAGTTTATAGTGCTAATATTTTGGGTTTGATCACCACAGTGGATACAGCAAACATAGCCTTGTGCTAAAACAAGTGAAAAATTTTTATTTTCTTGTTACTGATAATCAGTTGTTTCATTAAAATCTAAATAGTACTTTTAACTTAATTATTATTAAAAAAATGTAGTAAAATTTAGATAAAAACTGTGTGTGATTGATATTTATAAAATAAAAAAATAAAAAAAAAGTTACTCAGTTCCAAAGCTTATATGTTGATATTTAAAAAATAAAAGATATTGTGATATTCTCAGACTTAGCTGATGATTATATCTTGGGCAGGCTATTGTATATAACAGTTTCAAACTAATTACCTCATTGAGACTGGGCAAGTATAACTAAGTTTGGCAGCTTAATTTTTTTCTAGCTGTATATACTTTTTTATCATTGCATTATTTTAGCTTGTAAGTTTTAATTTCAGTAGTGTATAATGTCCACTGCTCTTATCATTAATAAAGCAAATTTTGTGACTTAATTATAATTATTACTAGACAACCCGTGACCCTTTGGGTCACCCAGTATTCAGAGGTTATGAAGAATTCAAGCTAATTTCAATCTTGCACCGAAATTAAAGTTTATTTTGAGATAATTTAATTAAATATTTCAATCCATTCATGTTATTCATAAATCAAGAAAAGATATTTAATCGTTGATCGGGAGTAAAAGTAAAGACCATTTCATTTTTCGAAAAAGTGAAGTCTGAGTTTTCAGGTATTGTGATGAATTAGTTTATGTTGTGGTCTTTCCTCTTAAACTTTCAACAATAAGAAACAGTAACACTTTATTTTTCTTTGAATTACCTACCATAACCAAGGCAACATTATTGAGAAATTCTTCAAGATCTTGTTTTTGTCATCTTACACCTTTTAATGAAGATGGAAACACTGACAAGAAAATAGATTTGAATGAAGTTTCATAAAGAGCGTGTGAATGGTAGTGTGATGTAAAATTACTCATGCTAGAAATTTTCATAAAAGTGACCTGAAAAACAGCGCTAACTCGGTAACCTGTGGCCCGATTTTAACGAAACTTATTTTATTCTGTTTCAATTCTCATTTCATTATAAATATGGCAGTATTGTGTGTCATTTTTGCTGTATTTAATTACAGACAAGCGCATGCACGCACACACACACACACACACACACACACACAATCTCAGAGTTTTAGTAGTATATAGATTGTATCATATTAAAAAGGTTGGAAATTAAAATATTAAGGGTTTTATCACAATCCTTTTAAAAATTTCGAATGTAACTCATCCTCAGTTTTAAAAGCTTGATTTGCCAAGAAGCATTTCTTAATATATTATGAAATAATCCTATTCCAATGGTTGTGTATAATTGGTAAAAAATAATTGAAAGTTTTTGACTATGATTTGACCTTCTGCAAACTATTGCAGTTTCATTAATATAGATAAATATTTTATGGATAATTCAGTTTTCCTCTTATGTAAAGCTGTAGTTGCATCATAAAAGTGACAGTCGTTCTCACCATTTGAGGGCTTATGATAATAAAAATCAAGTTTGATACCTGTAGTTGGCACAGCACAGGTAGCCATTGTATAAGTTTGTGCTTAATAACAAACAGTCAATTAGAGTAACTCAAGAGTTAGCAATGGATGCTGTTGACTAGCTCTCTTTATTCTTATCACCTCAAAATTAGGGAAGGCTAGTACAGATAGCTGTTGTGTAATTATTTAGTGAATATTTGAAACAAACAAACAAAACCTTCTTAAAGTAATATTTCTTATAGATAACCTGTATTTTAAATTAATGTTTTTTCTATTTACTTAGTGGATATTAAGCCTAATCATACTTCTATTTTTATTCAGACTTGTCTGTGAATATGTATTTTTGTTTATGTTATTTTAGGTGAATGACTTTGTGCGTGACAAAATGATGAAAGAATCTGGAAGTATCCCACTTTGGGGGGAGATCCTAGCTGGCGGCTGTGTAAGTTCTAAACGGTTTTCCTTTTAGTTCAAACTGATATCTGCTAAAAGAGTGTAAGATAATAAAAATTCAGTAGAACATGGTGTACAAAAGTACTGCATTAAGAGTTTTAATTTGGAGCAAAGTACTGTTATTGCCATGTACTTTCACTAAAAGTGTCAGTATTATCTTAAGTGTTAACTAGGCTTTATTAAGTCTTCAGGTACGTTTTATTATTTAATATACATTTAGAAATCTAAATAGTTTAGAATATTTAAAAAAAAGAATTGAGCAAAATGTATCAAGTATTTTACACATGGAGATGAGGACAGCTATATCCTTTCTAACTCAAAACCTTGAACAGTACTTTCCTTATATACCCAACCCCCCCCCACCCCCTAAAAAAATGTGTATTTTGAAACATTTAATTTATAATATTTTCATCAAAAGCAACCTGATCTAGTATGTATCAGACAGTTCATTAGATGAAAGGATTGAAATAGTACTTTCTCATTTAGGCTGGTGGCTCTCAGGTCATGTTCACCAATCCTTTAGAGATAGTGAAAATCCGTCTACAAGTAGCTGGAGAGTTGGCTGCATTAGGATCTAAAGTTCGTGCTGTGGGAGTTATCAGAGAGCTTGGATTTAGGGGACTTTATAAGGTACTTCTTCCAAATCTATAACAAGGAAGCTAATTCTCTATTTATTGATAGGTTTTATGCATGGTACATAATACACTAGAAATTAAGTTATGGTATATGTTAAATAGTTTGTATTTAAATAATTATTCTTATTAGTAATGCTTTTGACAAACACTTAAATATTACATATTTTTTTTTTCTACTTATTACTATCACTTGCCAGGAGTATATATATATATTTTTTTTTAATTATAGGTTTTGTATTTCTAAAATAATTGGAAATACTCCATAAATCCAGAATATTTATTTTCAGTATTTAAATGATTTAAGATACAATGTAATACTTGTTTTAGCTAAATATTCTAAAAGTATTGAAAATTTTCTATTTTCACCTGAGGGCTCAAGAGCATGCTTCCTGAGAGATATTCCTTTCTCTGCCATTTACTTCCCTGTATATGCTCATACCAAACTGCTCACAGCAGATGAGAGTGGACATAATGGACCATTGTCTCTCCTAGCATCTGCATTTATAGCAGGTATGCAGTTCTTGTATAAATTCCACTGATGTTTAGTGAGAAAGCATGTGTTATATGTCAATAGGTTGATTGATAAGGAGTGTATGTTAGTTAATAAATTATTCAGAAAAAATGTGCTATGCTAATGATACATTACATGCATTCCCAAAATGGTTTCATTTGTAAGATAAGTTTTCATCAAAAGCCCCCCCATTGATGCAGACTTGCAACGCCAAAAACCAGGTTTTCGAGACCTGTGGTGGGCAGAGCACAGATAGCCCAATTTGTAGCTTTGTGCTTAACTACAGATAAAATCTTCATCAAAGTACAAATTCTTTGTAGTGCAACTAGTAAACCTGACACAAGGTGGCTTTTCATAATGTAAGAAAATTATTTAACCTGACACAAGGTGGCTTTTCATAATGTAAGAAAATTATTTAACCTGACACAAGGTGGCTTTTTATAATATAGGAAAAAAAAAATTTAAC